ATGTAAAAGATTAAGTTCAAACACCATACATATGTTTGAAGTTGTCCAGAAGTGGTACACGTGTAAAAATCTTTTATAAGCGGACATAAAAGAAATGGCTAAATAGATACCGAGTATCGTGCATTTTGCATGTTAAGTAGGACACCTGCGAAGTAAAATTAGAAATGAATTAGTTAAGTTGCTCTTTCACATGTACTTATTAAAGATAGGTAGTTGTTGGCCCAATTTAACTTGGCCTTGAATTAGTGAATAGCCATCAAGATAGATTACCAGTGGAGATAAATAGTTTTATGCTAAGGAATTTTTCAAGGTAACGCATGTCCCAAAGGTGTCCAGGAGGAGTCTTTTATTGCTTGTTTCGAATTGGCTTTCATACAGGAGAAACTTTCCAAGCATTATTGTGGACTTTCAGTATATCCTTAGGAGAAAGTCCTGGATGAGTTGAGGCTTTTATAGCAAACAGCATAAGAGAGTCAACTTCATAGTCCCAACCTCCCCTAGAAAATACAACACACTAGTCACATGTAAGAGTCGGTGAACCGCGGATTCTGACGTTCTGACAAAGACAAAAAAGAACAGCTCATTACATTACAAAGAACTTTTGGCCTAACGAAAAAGTCGCTGCAAGTATTTATAAAAGCCCAACACACACCGGTCACACGCAAAGGATGGAGTGATGTCAAGAAGTCTCAAAAGGTGATATTTTTTCTATTTTTTTTTTTCATCTGCACCTAATAATGTCATCTTTACCATACATTCATAATCACATTGTCCACAAGATATGCCATTTAACAGTCACCCGAGCCTCACCAACATCCCTCAGTTGAGTTCATCCCAATAGATAGACCTATTTACGGATGTCAAACAGTTTCCCGTAACCAAATTATACATCTTTAAGAATACAATCAAACTAATGATCACCCAATAGACCCAAAGAACCTAAGTAAACACTTTGGATAGGCATTCCTGCCTCTCAGAAGAAAAAGAAATTATCATATACTAAGATACTAGCCTGCAGCCATCAATTTGCTAAAAGAACTTAAGTTTTCCTTTGCCCATGTGTGCTTTCCCGCGCTCCACATAACATGCTGCTTTTTGAGTCCCTGTCAAGTCAGAACAGGAGTCACCAGCCCCTAGAGTGACAGCAAAGTAAAGATAGATAGTGCAGAGAAAAGCTAGGAGGCCAAGCGCAGTTAGAAGGAACCGGTGGCGCTGAAGTACTGTTGAACAGCTCCCAAGCTCATTACTTCGGGAGTATTGATTCTTCTTTGGATCAGTAGATGAAAATGCTGTTTGTGTCTGTGACCTCCTATGAGGAGAAGTTATTACGCTGTCAAGAGCCATAACCTTAAACAGTTAATCTTTGGCAGCCGGTCACGATTCCTGCACCTACCAATTCGACATGGTAAATATCATGAGTGTCAAAAGCATAATTCATGCAGAAGTGTTCACCGACTTGCAGACACAAGTGAAAAATATATATGCAATGACACTCATCCAAAGTAACAACATGAGGGAAAGAAAAGAAAGAACGGGGGACGAGCATAGGGGGAAAACAACATACATAGTAGATGCAATTATACAACTAGCCTGGTCGGGTTCATCTCAAGCAACCCCAACGTATGCAGACAATACAGATGTTGTAATATAATAACTAAAACAGATGAATAATTGATGACAAAGTAAGAAACATCAGAAATGGCGATGGTGGAAATAAAGTAAATGGGAAATAAAAGGGCTCACAATGAGGCATGCTGATGTCTTTCATCATTCTTACACCAAAACTGCTTACATGTGCTAATTTATTGTACATGGAGTGAGAAATGGGAAGAAGACAGAAATCAGGATAAAAGATCATTATTTGCTCTACTAGCTTTTGATCACTCTTAACATTAACATGTTCTATATGAGATTCATTAGTATTTTACATTTTTACTTGGTTCAATATCTATTCTACCAAGTGTGGTTCCAAGTACCACCTACCTTCTGAAGGAAGGAAGAGATAATTAAATGTCAAAATACATTAAATGAAGGAACATCATCAGACTGATCAACATAAAATATAAGAATGTGTTGGCCAAAAATAAAATAACACTGTAGTAGCTGAAAGTTTGTAAATGTATTCAATAGCACACATAAAAACAAAAACAAAGATATAGAAGATGACAATGCAAGACTGACTTTGAATTGTTCATATAGGCTAGACAGGATCAATCACTCCCTTTTAAGAAACTTTAACCAACTTCTCTCTCTGAGTTTGAGAGTGATAACACAATCGCAGAAATTCAAACTTGCTTATGGAATGTGCTTCAGCAATAACTTCACAAGTTGGTTTTATGAGACATGAAAGTTGACAGGACCTGCAGCTAAAGCTAAAATGCAATGTATGTAATGTATCATTCACTGAGACTTCAAATATGTATGCAATTTACCACTTTGCTCGTGCAATCTGTGAAGCAATTACTCCTAGGCATCTCATCTTCATAACTTCCTTACTCATCAACAGCGAACAGTCTCGTTAGGAGTTCACTTACTAATCTCCAAACACAGGACAAAGATTTCCGTATGTCCTATAATCTTAATTCAACAGAATCACTATAATCACACGGATCTTAATTTAGTAGACTATACATGTAATCGTGCTAGTCAATCGAACAACTCAAAACCTAAAATCAATTGTTCCCGAAATTGCTAATAGACGAGTAAGCAAATAATCAAATTAATGGAGAGCTCAAAAAACATTCCGACGAAAGAAAATTAAAACAACAAAGGGACATCAGATCTGAAAAAAAATCCAGCTGCTCATACAAACAGGCAGACACATACATCAATTCAGATTAACAGAAACACATACATACAGATGCGAGAGATCTAAATACGAAAAGGACGATACTTACAATAGAAGAGAAATGAATGACAGCAGCCGTCGAATCGATCAGAGCAAATTCGCGTTAATCGCCGGCAATGTAAGAGTCGAGCTCCCTCAATGAGAGAAGAGGTGCCGGCGACAACACGGAGAGGACACGCACTTTCTGGATGTAAAGAGCATGAGATGGAGAGAGATGAAAATGCTATTTTCGCGTAGGAGAGAGGTACACTTTATAATTGTAATAATCAGTTTGGGGATTTTTTTGGTGAAGGTGGGAATGTAATTGTTGTTGGACTATTTTGTATTCTATTTTGACGCTTGGGATGATCCAAGGGTCGGATCTTCGTTTGAGCATCCTGTATGACTAGTCCCGTGGTGCGCTCCATGTATAAGTAAGTAGTACATTATATTTTTTCGATCTCAAAATATTTATGGTATTTTTTGTTCGTAAGTTTATTTATGTTCCAAAATAAAAATATATAAAATATTTATTCAATTTATGTGTGTTATATATTTAAGATGTTTGTGGTTTTAAAAATAATGTAAATTAATTTGATTTTTCTTTCTTTCTTACTAGTTTCAATTCAATTTTGAGAAGATAATTTGGCCTTTTCTAGATTTATGATTTGATTGATCATCGCAGACCTTCTAGACAGAGGTGGAGCTAGGTGGGATTCATGTGTTCGGACTAACCCAGTAGCTTTTCCGTAGATCTTATATTTGTACAAGAAAATTAATTAATTATATATATGTATATTAATTTGTGAACCCTGACAAAATTGATCAACGGTTATTAACGAAATTTAGAACCCCAAACTCTTAATTATGGCTTCGCCTCTACTTCTAGATTTATAATAAATATTGAGTTCAATGAGCATTGATACTTCACATTATATTCTATTCGTTCCATTTAAAATGTATTTTAAGTTTTAAAAAAAACGTCAGAATCGAACTATGTTAAAAGGGATTGCTACTTTAGTGTCAAGCATATAAATAAAAATAATTATCAATTTTGATCTTAAATTCTTAAAGTAACACTTATTTTGTTTAAAGCTAAAGCAACAATTTAAAATGCATTATTTATAAGCAAAAAAAATTACAAGTAGAGAACTACTCTATCTATCTAGCATCGTGTGTAAACATATATTCATGCATGATTAATTCCGTTTAATTTATCAATAAATTTAAATCTTCAAGTTTCTGAGAAACTAATTTATCTTTGAGAAGGTATTATAATTATTGTCTAGTAGAGTAAAGAGTGACTTGTTGCAAAATCATGTTAGATATTAAAGTACACGCATTTATATTCTTGGATAACTTTAACAGCATAAACTTATTGTTGTTCCCCATTTTTGGAGATAAATAATGGTATACCAGAAACATAAGAAAACCAAATAAAAAAACTTGTCTGATAATTTTATGTTTAGTACGTAAATGAAGTTGACAGCGATTTATGCATATTTGCAGGCATAATTTTAGCTAGCCAATATCTAATTGACCAAACGTTGAGAAAAATAGGGATGACATGGCAAAATGTCAAAGGTAGATACCTAATTAACAATCTTATCAAATGTGATTATTGAACGACCCAACGAATAATGAAAATATAGGTTGCGTTATAGGTGCAATCACAATATTTTTTAACAAATAAATAAATAACTGTACTATATATAGACTAATTTGTAAATGCAGTAAATTAGCATAGCTATAAATGCAAGTTCACAATTAAATTTAATGAGTTTAATACTGTATATCCCCCCCCCCCCCCCCCCC